TGGAACAACTGTAATGGCATAATTAATAAAATATATTTTTAAAATTTAAAAAAAAGAACAAAAGCAAAAAAATCAATTTCTAAGTAATGACCTAATTTTAGCATGAGTGGGTTTTTTTGTTTGTTTTTTAATTTTAAACAAGACATGAAGAGCAAAGTGTAGACCTTCTTTAAATGGGTAAGTCTGTAACTGAGGGAAAGACATCTGTGTGTTTCCTGTGCTATACTGTGGTAAGAAGTATGCTGTTGTGGTGCCTGTCATTGGCCCTACTTATTTTCACTTAAGACTTTTACATGGAGCCAAAAAACTGTACAAAAGCCTGACTTCACTTCTGTGTGCATATTGTGGTGCTGGCAGCTAGATGCATATAGCTGCCAGTGCCTACAGTGTAACGAGACATTCAAGAGCATGAGGCAAGGACAATAGAATGGCAAAAGCTGTGACCACATTATAACCAGGTCACATCTCTTACAGTGTGACATTCTGTTTCTTTTTTTTCTTTTTTTCTTTTTCTTTCTTTCTCTTTCTTTCTTTCTTTCTTTCTTTCTTTCTTTCTTTCTTTCTTTCTTTCTTCCTTCCTTCCTTCCTTCCTTCCTTCCTTCCTTCCTTCCTTCCTTCCTTCCTTCCTTCCTTCCTTCCTTCCTTCCTTCCTTCTTTCCTTCTTTATTTCTTTATTTGTTTTAGGTCAAACTAAGTAACAAAGTGTGAACCGTCTTTTCTGTCCTATCCCCTCAAGCATCCTACACAGTTGTGGTGTTTAAGGTGTCCTTTGTGTTCTTTATTACACATTGAATTATTCTGTGCCCAGCCATGTCTGGCAGTTCATGTCATTTATGTGAAGGAAATGTGGGTAGTGTGGTGCCAAGGACTATTTGTACTAGGCTTGATAGAACCAATGTTAAGAGAAAATGATCTAGAACAAGATAGATTGAGTAAAATATGCTAGAGGTACTCATGGTTTCTCTAAAGTTAAGGCTACATATGTGAACATTTTGAGCCAGTGAATTTTTTTTTTTAATCTGGAATCAGAAAGCTATAAATCACCTTGACTTAGTAACTTCCAGTGAGACTGCCATCTTAACATAGATCATGTAAGATGAGGGAACATGTTCTAATTTGGTAACGACCATGTCTGGAAAGGCAGGGCTTTTTCCACAAAGGTATCACCAGTGACATACTGTGTTAAAAGGACTTCCTACAGTGAAAGTTGTAACCCTTTTTTAATAACTATAATGTTGATGAGAAAATGATTGAAGGAAATATTTATTATTTCATTTTACCTTTATACACTAGGAGTGAAGTTAAAGGAAAAAAAAAAGGCTTTTGCTCTGACTGGCTTGGCTCAGTTGGTTGCCTGTGGTCCCACAAAATGAAGATCCACCGGTTTGATTCCCAGTCAGGGCACAGGCCTGGGTTGTAGGCCAGGTCCATGGCTGGGGACACGGGAGAGGCAGCCGATGGATGTTTCTCTCACACGTCAGTGAACACACACTCTCTCTCTCTTTCTCCCTCCCTTCTCCTCTCTCTAAAAATAAATAAAGCCCTGACTGGTGTGGCTCAGTGGATTGAGTGCTGGTCTGCAAACTGAAGGGTTGCCAGTTCAATTCCTGGTCAGGACATATGCCTGGGTTGTGTGTGGGCTGGGTGGCCAGTTGTGGGTATGTGAGAGGCAACCGGTGGATGTATTTCTCACACATCAATGTTTCTCTCCTCTCTTTCTTCTTTCCCTTCTCTCTAAAAATAAATAAAATCTTTAAAAAATAGTAATAAAATAAATAAATAAATAAAAATAAAATCTTAAAGAAGAAAAATTTTTTAAAAAGGCTTCTGTTGGTTTTTGCCATTTGAGAATACCTAAAATGAGGGTAGCTTGAAGAGACTTCCAACAGATGGTTTAATTATTTTTCTTTAGAAGTTAGTAAAGAATTAATAGTCTTTATGTCGGTTACTGCTGCTATCTCGGCCTGAGCACCAGTGTATGTCCCAACTCACAGCCCTGTACTACTGCTAGTACTGTCATGAGCAGTGGTTGCTGGACTCGTATATCATCTCTTCTTTCTACCCTCAGGAGGGTCATGAGGAGCTACTGCTGATAATCAGAAATGTAGTTTAAGAAAACAAGAAAATTGGCTACTTTTTAAACTTTTATTTGTGCACCATTGCTAGAGTTTTTAAGTTTCCTTGCTATTCAGTATTAGAAGAGTTGGGTGACACCCTGTCTAACAGTCTTCATCCTCATCCTCACACCAGGCATCTGGATGGTAATGGACATAAATACATAGAGAAAAGGATGGATTTCAATTTACTGGATTGGCCAAAAAGTTTGTTTAGTTTCTTCCATACAACGGTTCTAGTAGTGCTTACTTGTCTTTAACATGATTCGAAACAATTTTTTTAGATTATATTGTGACAGCTGTAATATTAGCGTGCATTTAAAATTTTTTTATCAAAGTTGGTGAATTCTTGTGCAGCCATTTTAATATCGAAGATGGAAAAGATATACAATGTATTTGGCATATTATGCTTTATTTCAAGAAAGGTAAAAACACAACAGAAACACAAAAAAAGATTTGTGCAGTGTATGGAGACAGTCCTGTGATTGATCGAATGTGTCAAAAGTGGTTTGCGAAGTTTCTTGGTACTATTGACACTGTGGCCAAAGAATGTTTTTCTGTGGAGCTATCTTACGCTATGGAAGATGTTTAGTAGCACCCCTGGGCTCTACCCACTAGAAGCCAGTGACAGGAGATAGCTGACATACTCAAAATATCCAAATCAAAGTTATTGGTGAAAATGAAAATGTGTCTTTTATTTTACAGAAAAAACTAAACAGACTTTTTCGCCAACCCAATAGATACTAACCAGTATAAACATGAGTACAGATAATGTTGAAAAACTCTATCAGAAGCTTAAAGTTTTTTTTGTGGGTAGTAACAAGCATCTCAATATCTAGAGAAAAAGGTCAAGCACGATAAAGCTACACGGACCCACCATTGTCATGAAGTGTCATAAAGATTTGCCTACAGTGTGTTTAGAGACCACTGAAGACAGTTCAGCTCTACTGAAAACAGTTAAAGCCTTTCATTTTGTTCATGACCATTATTTAGAAGATGCTGATTGTTTCATGGAAGCAGATTATGATACACATGTCCTGTTAAGACAGCTTGAGGTAGCTTCTCTCAAATTATGATCCTCAGGGACTCATTTACTTTGGGAGAAGATATGTAGTGAATAAAGAAGCCTTGAAGATATTTGTTACTGTAAGTTTTTGGTACTACAATTATAATTATTATTTTTCTGCAGAGGATGCTGATTACTGTTCATCTTGCAGTTTGTTTCTTTGACTTTACAACATGTATAAATTTGACTACATTGTGTATTATCTTCCTCTACATGGTTATTTATCAAACTGTCTTATTTAAGAAATCAGTAAAACAGAAATAATCATGAATGAAGATCCAACAATAAAATGTCTAATACTGAAGAAAGACCTGCACCTGCGATATAGATCACCATAATCCCACTGACAAATTCTTTGAATGTTAATATTCCATGCTTTAAATATTTCATATGAATGGCTGAAAACCGAAGTTTTGACATAAGCTGTGGAGTCTTTGAAAATGTATTTTTGAGGTACTTTTTTTTTATTAATTTTATTTAGTTATTTTTCAAGTACAGTTTTTTTTTTGTCTATTTCTCCCATCCCAGCCTCCCCCGCCCCTGAAAATGTATTTTTGATACAGTAATGTAAATGAAGAATTTTTTTTTTGAGTGGTGGTCAGGTAGAGGAATGAAAGAGATACTGTTTCCTCTTCCTGACTGCTTGTATTGATGTCACTGTATAAATAAAACAGCTAACCTTGCTAGAACTACACTGCACTATGTTAATACACCTATGTGAAGCTAAACAGACTTGCCTTAAAGAACAACTTAGAAGAAATATTGTTGGTAATTGCTTTTTACTGAAGACATGAGTTTGCATCCATGAATATAACAAATGAACCAAACTTCCTCCCCACATACGTACCACCGGACTCTCTATAAAGTATCCAGCCATGTATTATGAAAAATAGAGATATTTATTGAAGAAGATACAAGAAACATTGTTCATGGGACAATGATACCTCAGACCCCTTTAAAGTAGCACCTTGGGACCTCACAGTTCTTCCAGTTGCTATCAGCTGCCCCATTGTATTTTCCTGAATCTCATCAGTGGTCTGAAATCTCTTTCCTTTCAAAGGTGATTTTAGTTTTGGGAAAAGCCAGAAGTCACAGGGCACCAAATCTGGGCTGTGGCGGGGGCTAGTCACCTGGGTGATTTGATATTTCACAAAAAAAACTTCTGCAGGAGAAATGATGCATGAATGGTGTGTTGTTGTAATAAAACTGCCAATCACCTGTTGTCCATAGCTGCAACCTTCTGAATCATCTGAATAGGTTCTTCAGAGGAATGTTCATACTTAACACAAAATTTGATGCAGATTCATTGCTGTACTTGCTTAGTCATTTTGAATGTTATGGCCACACAGTGCACACGCTCACTCAGTGGCTTCTACCGCCCCCACTGACTAGTACAGTGAAGTCCTCATTGTTCAGGTACCCACATTCCTATCCAGTCTCCTTGGCTGATAAGTTACATCATTATCACACAAACTGTACTTATTGTATTAATGGCTGGACTTTTTTCTGGATAGACCTTGTACATAGTATTCTGTCTAATGAAGGTTTTGCTATTGCCATTTATAATTAACAGTATCTCTTCCACAAAAAGGTAGGAGTGATGCTTGGTTAGGGTACATTAATATAAAACCACATTTTGAAATTAGTATGGATTTTGTCTACAGTATAAGTTGGGTTCTAAATAGTGTTTATTAGAATAATAATATTTGCTAGGAAGAATGTCTTTAAATTAGATGTTTATTTAATATGTGATATTTCCCCTGTTTTGATTACATTAAACATAATTATCAATGGCACTAATCTGACTTTTTGTTTTATAGTTTCTGGTTTTCAGCAGCCACTGTAAAGCAGTGAGTGGCTACTCAGACCAGGTCATCCATCAGCGGAGATCAGCTACCTCCTCACTTCGCTGCTGCCTGCTCACTGAGCTGCCATCTTTTTTATGTGTGGCCAGTCCACGAGTAAGTGCCATGGGAGGGAATAAACAAAATACATGGTATTTTAAAAATACTAATTTCAGGAGATCCATTTCTTAACTGTTTTAAGTTATTTGGATCTTGAGAAACATACAAATCCTTAATATTTAGAAAGAGCATGCACACTACGGTCCTGGCTGACCCAGGACAGCACTCCTCACTGTGGACTGTGTTGCTTTGAGAATGATTGTGTGGTAGGTAGGAGTGGGGTTTTTTTTCTCTGACCTTGTCTCTCTCCTTAGTTTCTCTCATTTAGTCAGGGGCTCTAATCTACCATGGCAGCAAGCCATCTGTCAGGTGGATTAACACCCAACAAAGAGTCCACGGATAGGGGACTCTTTGAAAAGGAGAGGGAATCATTTGTCACTTGCATTGACGCTTTTGAGGGGTTTTCAGAGGAGGGGGCTGGATTGGCAGGGAGATTTGATCTGGACTTGTCACTTCAGTACAGTCCCCAAATAACAAAAGGAAATGTGACACTCTGTCATCAAGAAATTTCTTAGTCTGGTATTCCCTCACTTTCCTCAGCAGTTCTGCTTGGACTGTGGTTCACTAGTATGTTTCCCCTGAAAAGTGACTGTTGCGCATTCAGCAGTTGTAGTCTTATTTGTAGATGGGAGGAGGTAGTTACTATTAGAGTTTCAAATGTGGGCAGTTGTTGGGTTCTTCCTATACCCTGCTTATCAAAACAGGGCACCCTGGTGATTGTTGACAGCATTATTGCCAGGGTTGCCCTTGGCATGCTGTGGTGGTTTACTTTACTTAACATCTCTTTTAAGTCCTTATTGATCAGTGCCAGAAGAATTTCTGCCACCCTCAAAGAAATACATGATGGGAAGAGAGACATAGTAGAAAAGTGGCCAGACTCTGTGGGTCAAGCAAAGTTCAAGTTTCTGTCTTTTCCATCTTGTTTCCTTTTGCTTTAAGGGGCAACTTTCAGTTAACCAGAAGACTCTTAAGAGGCTGATATTTCTTACCTTTCTGTGTGTTTTTTGTTTATTTTCTCCACTTATCCTAGCAAGTTGACTGTTTTCCTAGTTCCATTTAAAGAAGGTAGAGCCTTTTGAATCTTCCTTAGTTATATTTTTCTACCATTATTTATATCACCTCGTATCCTCACTTTATTAAGTTATCAAAGATCAGAATTGGCAGAGGGTCCAAAGGAAGATGATGAATGAGAATGAGATGATGGCATTGAGTCCCATTGACTCTGGCCTTCCTAGACTTCTTCCTGCTAGTCCTCTGTTGCATGAATGTGATTCCCTTGCCACTGTCATCTTCATTTGATTTATATTGACTGTCCAGAATTTAGATTTTACATGTTTCCAATTCTTCCAAAGCATTCTTGGTCTTTGAAGCTGAAGCTGATGCAGAGAAACTCACTTTTTTAAGAAACATCTAAAACCAAGTGCTTCTATGGAAAGTAGCGTTGAGGCTTCATAATTGTGTGGTTTGTTTCCTTCTCAGTCTCCATACTAAAAGGCCTGATAAAAGGAAGTCTGGATTTTTAGAGCAATATATCAGGGTATTTTTACTTCTTATATTTCCAGTGTTTTATAGAGCCAGTGAAAAGTGAACTCCTTGAACTGTAATGGCATTGATGGACATAACAATTTTGATTTGTACCATCCCGAGCTCTAGAGCCAACCACTGTGAAGAACAGCCCCCCTCTCCAAACATATTTGCACATGGACACCCCAACTGTACTTCAGAGTATTGTTTTCTGAGGAGCTAGAAGTCTAAACTGTCTTGTGCGGTGCTGCTGTTTCCCTAAAGAACCATAAACAGCAGCTCGAAGAAGACTGTCATAGTGTAGAAAGATGTGGTGGCAGTCGGGGAGTAGGACAGAGCTTTTATCATTTGACTGGAGTGCTGCTTTCCAGCGCCCTACTTGGCCTTTCCTCTGTTACTTATTTGTAGGGTTTCTTCATGTAACATGTGCCAGACCTGAAAATGGGAGTAATTACATGATGGTTTTGAGGACAAGAAAAAGAGTTTTAAACATGTGAATATTTTATGTGCATATACACAAATTCTTAATCTTTCAGATCAGGCCTGGGATATGAATAAGTCGACATTTCATGAAATACCTTAATTATATTGATTTCTCACCCATCTTGATGGAAAGAAACTGATTTCCTTTTGAGGCCTCAACCTTGGCCTTGAGTTGAGACAAATTAATTTTCCTGGCACATGCTGTGAAAACTTTAGGGTCAGTTCAGGAAGAACTGTGCCATTAAGGAAGAAATTGTGGCAGCTCTTTTCTCATTAGCTGAGAAATAATTCAGCAGGGGTCATAAACTAAGACCCTGGAATCCATCTTAGAAAAAATGTAGCGCTTGGAGCGGTCACGCTTCCTAGAGTTAGAGCAGGAATGCACATGTCCTCAGGAAGGACGCTCTCAATGCTTGTGGAGGCAGCCTCTGAAGATACCATAGTTTGGAAAGTTAATGAAGCAAGAAACAGGTTAGCTTATGTGGCTGATGGGAGGGTACATTTCAGTTCGCGGGGAGGAGAAAATGGTGGGTCATGCTTCATCTCTCCCTGTTTCTGAGCAATCAGGAAGGCCACTTGGGTGGATGCCGTCTAGGATAGAGCGGACTTGGAAAGTAGGATTTAAGTAGAAATGGACTTGTTTGTCCCCTTCAGGGCCCCATGAGTTTGCTGCTTACGTATTTACAACATGACTTTCTATGATTCTGCATATATCTTGATCCAGGACTCCTGCCAAAGAAGCTTATCAAAACATTAAAAAATATTTCACTAAGAACTGTGCCTTGCAATCCTCCCAGTTTCAGTCCTGAACTTGGAAGGATATCAGCAAAATGGAAATTGGAAAATAGGTTAAAGTTTACACCTGGAAAAATTTGGTTTGTTTTTAAACTACTAAAACTTTCTAGAACTGAGTCCCAAGCAAGGGAAACATTCTCCTCTGCATCACTGTTTACCCTATTCCTTCAGGCTGTTTCTACCTTTAAATTTTTCATCTTGAGACTGTGGGCCCAAAGTCTTTCTTTTTTTTTAAATATCTTATTTATTTATTTTTAGAGAGAGGGGAAGGGAAGGGGAAAGAGAGGGAGAGAAACGTCAATGTGTGGTTCCCTCTCATGTGTCCCCTTTTTTGGGACCTGACCTGCAACCCAAGCATGTGCCCTGACTGGGAATCGAACCAGCGACCCTTTGCTTCACAGGCCCGTGCTCAGTCCACTGAGCTACACCAGCCAGGGCTAAAGTCTTTATGTATAATTCCAATATAAGTTCTGCTGCTCTACAAAAAAAATAAAATAAAACCCACAAAGGATTTATCTTTGTAAAGTGGCCAGTATTAGTCTCTCGCAGATTATGCTCTACTCATCCAAGAGTGTGTGTGTTATTTGAGATATATAGAATTGGTACTACTTCTGTAGTCCAGACTGCTGTTTCCTTAACCATTTTTATGGAATTAGCAGTAGTCATTTGTGAGGTTCTGGGACTTACACCCTAGATCAGGGATCCCCAGCCCACGCACGGCCTGTTAGGAACTGGACCACAAAGCAGGAAGTGAGTGTCAAGCAAGCAAGTGAAGCTTCATTTGCATTACCATCTGGGCTCCACCTCCTTTCTCTCCCTCCACCCCTGCACCTGTCGGTGGAAAAATAGTCTTCCACAAAACCAGTCCCCGGTGCCAAAAAGGTTAGGGACCCCTGCCCTAGATGGTAGGTGTCTACTCTGATTCAGTATCTGCTGGGCCACTGCCAGAACAAACCAGAGCAGATAGAGACCAAATTTTTATCCACCTGCTTTGCATTTCTGTGTTTATTTGCCTATGCTCAACTTTCAGTGGGAAAAATTAATAACTGGGAAACAAGAGGACAAACTTCTTTTGGAGAGAGTAGAGGAGATATGAGATTACCAGAACCTTCTACTAGTACAGTCTGGTTAAACCAATTTCTGTGTGAGCCTGTCTGGGTTTTGGAGCTCTAGGGGCCCAGCTTGCTGTTTCTCTCTGTAGTTTTGCCATCTGGACGATAGATGGCACTATACCCTAGCCAATTCAGATCAGCTTCCTCTGCGATCCGAGTAGTATACATAGTCTGTGGTTATTAGTAAATGATGCTCTTTCTCTGGTGTTGGTATCCTCTGGTCCCCAGCAGAGGTACCTTGCAGCTCCATAGTAAGCTAGCTGACTGTTTATGTATCCATGGCAGCATTTTCAAGGCTCAGTCTAAGATGCTGGGGTGCTTGTTAAACCTAGTTCTGTTGGCTCCTCCCATCTGAATACACAGCTGCTTATTAGAATGGGAATAGACCAGAGATAGCTAAAGAAGGATAAAATCTAGGTTTCTGAATGGAAAGGAGCCTGCTGTTCTATAGGGGGGCAGCATTTGAGTGCTGCTGCAACTAGTGGTGAGGTAAGATGTGTGTAGCCTCTCCCCTAACCAAGAAATGAATCTACTACTTCTGGCAGTTGTTCCCCCACCCCTTCCATCAGCTTATGGCTTGAAAGAAAGATTCTCTTATTTTCTGAAAGGTTTGTCAGTCAGCAGCCCAGTTAGAGAAAAGGAGAAAGAAGTGTTGATAAATATGGGAGCTTTGCCACAAAATCATTAAAGATAACTTCAAATACACCAAGCCAATACTCTATAGTTCTTAATGATGACTAAACTAGCTCCAATTCCCTTTTTGGCCTCACCAACTTATGTATGGCAAATATAACTTTGCCAAAAGCAACATCCAGCAGCGATGGAAGGTTCAAAGCCTATATATATATGATTTCTGACCTGGTGTCCCGGTTTATCTGTAAATTCACAGTACTCTTTAGATTTGTCATAGGTTCATATTATAATAGGTTGGCTTTTTACCTGGGAAGGCTCTCACTAAATCAGTTATTAGGGAGAGGTTAGTTTGTTAGAACAGGGAAGGTAAACTACTAGCCAAAGAATTGTCCACATTAGTCTTATTTCAAAGTTGAGGTTCCCAAAAGACTTAGTGGGTGTGGAAAATGTGAAAGAAAGAATCATCTCATTTGACTCTGACTGCAGGTCACCGCAGTGCCATTGGATTCCTACTGCAATGACCGAAGTGCAGAGTATGAGCGGCGAGTGCTTAAGGAAGGAGGGAGTCTGGCAGCCAAGCAGTGTTTGTTGAACGGGGCCCCTGAACTGGCAGCAGACTGGCTAAATCGACAATCCCAGTTCTTCCCGGAGCCAGCTGGAGGACTGTGGAGCATTATGCCTCAGAATGGCTGGTCTTTCATCAGGATTCCAGGTGAGTCCTCTGTCCTCTTGAAATACGTTTCCAGCTTTGGCAAAGGGAAAACCAGGGAGATGTTCCACATGGTGGTTTTAGATATTTGGAATTCAAAGTTTTGAGGTTTCTATTTCCTCTTCTGCCCTTAGTAACTTATAGATAAGTGTATTTAAGTACTTTGTGACTTGAGTAGAGAGAAATGTGTTTTAGATTTGTGCTTAAATACTCTCTTTTTGATAAGCGTACAGATGAGAAAGGAATGCCACTGTTACAAAAAGGGGAGGAGGTAGAAATAAACGAGGTAGGACAGACTCCAGGTCAAGTGAGTAGTTGTCTTGTGACATTACCACTGGGATGAATGAGAATGTCGTCACTCACAGAAAGCCTAGCCCAAGTAGCATAAATAGTGTCCTACACAAAGCACTAGAGATCTGAATGATAACCAGAAGGAAAACGGTGTGGTTTGTGCCAAAATGCTAGCAGATTCCCAGACCTCTGGGGTCATGGACGTGGGTTGGAAGGGAACTAGATTTTCATCTTTGCTTTAGTGAAACTACTTTTTTTTTTTAAAGATTTTATTTATTTATTTTTTAGAGAGAGAGGGGAAGGGAAGGAGAGAGGGAGAGAAACATGGATATGAGAGAGATACATCGATCAGTTGCCTCTCATACTCTCCTGACTGGGGACCTGGCCCAAAACCCAGGCACGTGCTGTGACTGGGAATTGAATCAGCGACCTTTTGGTTCACAGGCCAGCATTCAGTCCACTGAGCCACACCAATCAAAGCATTGAGACTACTTTTAAGGAAATTGAGCACAGGGTTCATAAGCTCATGTTCTTTGCTTACACATGGCAAACTGGAGCAGCAGCTTAGAGCTGCCATGTAAGTTTTGGTTGTCCACATTCTCTAATACTTTGGTTGTATTCATCTTACTAGCATGTGTGGGAAGTAAACAAGAGGTAAGTATTCAAAAGAGAGAATCTGGTTTCTAAGAGATAACTGGATTCAGGGTTTAAGGCCTGGTTTTTCCATTTTAATGTTAACTTTGTCAGGTGTCAGGAAACTTGGGGTCAATCTGCTGTAGTAGCGTTGAGGACACTTTGAACTAGAAGATAGCATTTTGGGTATATGAGAACAGTATTGTAAATGGCCTCATAGCTTACTTAGAACATGTAAAAGTGATGTGTGAAGGTGTAGTGGTGGAAAATAAGTGGAAACCCAGAGTGTAAAGAATGTCTGAATTCTGGTGGGAATAGAGGGATAGCGTGGTATGGAAACCACAGAATCCCAGGCAGAAGATGAACACAGGTATAGAAAGAAGCAAAACAACACCTTATTTATTGTTTCTCCCTTCTTCATTCTGGCTGCTTAGTTCCCAGTACAGGAGTAGAAGGCTTATTGCTGGCGCTGTGGGAATCTCTTGTGGCTTTTCCTGTTCTTTGAAAGAAAAATGGACCTTGTTTAAATAGCAGGAAGTGTCTGAGTTCTTTTCGCATCGATAAAAAGCACCAGCCTCACTCGCTGTTTACTGTGAGAACCAACCAGCTCCTCACTGACCCTATTGTGCTCTGTAGACTGGCTGGGGCAGGGCAGGGAGGGCACTGGAACCTATATTTTATCTTTTTTTCTGTACTTTTACATTTTCTGTGTCCCTGGGAAGGTTTGGTTCCATTAAATTTCTTGAGAGATTAATGAAAATCTGGATTTCAAACATTGAATGTGTCGCCGTGTTTCACTGGAAGAAGGATCTACAATGCCTTCTAAAGTCTAGTCTCCCCTCCTTGGTATAGAGGAGATATTATTCAGTGTTACTCTGATTATACTGCTGTAGGATACATTTCATCTCTGAGCAGGACCTTACACTGTGGTCAGTAAGAACCTGTGAGTGAAAAATACTTGTAAGATTCTACCACAAAATTGTAGGAAAGATTGTAAGAAAGTAGATCTGTTCATTTCAACCTTTTTTTTGAGCTCCTGTTTTAAAGAAGGGACTGGTCACAGATTTGACTTGGCAGAATCAGCCTAATTTCTAGGAAATGGTGCTCTTCTTGGCTCTGCGCCCTGCTTAGCAATAGGTTATACTCTTTGTCCAGTGCAGCTTTGGTAGCTTCTGAAAAACTGGGTCATGGATGCCAGACCCAGAAGAAACCAGTGTGTATAGAGAAAGAAACCAATTTTTCTGCATATCTTTCTGAGAACAAATTCTGGAAGCTGACTTCCTCTGTCTAGCATGCTCACCAGAGAAACAGAAATAATCGTTCATTACTTAAGGGTTTTAAGGACATTGCTGACATTTCTTCTTAGGCCTTTTCCTTCAGTGCATTCTGAAGATACCCAGTCCATCCACTTTCACCTCCCCCACCTAACAGGCTAACAACAGGGACCACTTCTGCTTTTTCTCTCAAGTGCATGAAAGTTCTTTTCACTTAAGCCTATATGCACATCATCATCTCTGAGCTTTCCGAATACTAGGATCAGTTCTTTCTGATTTGTCAAAATAAAGTAGATGTGGGAAGCAGGAATGTGTGAAAACCATTGAGTCATGATTTTAAGATGAATTGAAGCTTCTCAAAATTCAGACACAAGACAGATTTGTGTATGCTTAAATATTTGTGTTGAGGGAGTATATGTGAATGGAGAGAGAAAATAAACAGGCTGCAAAAATCTGATGTGGTTAGCTTAGTCCTGCTCAATGACTGAAAAGTATATGGGCTTTTAATTTTTTTAACCTTGCTGTTCTTTTAATGAGAAAAGAAAGAAACATACTGTTTAAAATTGATTGGTAGCTCTGTAGGGATTATTTAAGCACTATCAAAATTGAGGGACCCTAGGGAATCCAACTAAAGGAGAAGGGTAATTGTGACAAGAAGAAAACCTTGAAGTTGCTATGAAAGCATTGCTGCCTCATCAGACTTGGAATTTATACAGTCCTCCTTGTGTCTGGTGCCAGACAGGGGGCTTAGCAATCACTTCTGTCCCAGCTGCAGTCATTTGATTGTGTTGGTAAGGAGACCAACAAAAAAGAAGAGCATTTCAATAATCTAAACAGGACCAAACAAAGAAGCTGAACAAAGGTGTGTGCTACGGCGTCAGGGAGGGGTGGTGGAGGGAGAGATGTGGCCTGGCAGCGTTCCGAAGGTGGGAAAAGGCAGGCTGCAGTGCAGAGGAGTAAACATCCAGGACCCATGGCTTTGTAGCAAAACAGAGTGGTTGATGATTTGTTATGGTACTGTCAGCACATCCGTCCTTGTTCGGTTTATACAATAATTGTGCACTGGGCAAATAGTGGCAAGAACTGAGAAACGACCGTTGAGAACTCCTGGATTGCTCTGCAGTCTGAGCAAAAAACACAGGTTCAAACAAGAAACAAAAGATAGGCAGTATGTTTTTCTTAACAGGTTTCTTTCTTACTTTTAGTGGTTAGTTGTCTGTGTAATATCTTTAGCCTTTCCCTCTCCCTTTTTGTGTTCCCTAGTCACTTCGACATACACCCTTAAATCTCCCAGCCCCTTAAACCTCCTCTCTTCCCTTCTTAATAACAACAATTGTTCAAGGCATGTTTATGGATCAGTCTGCAAACAGGAAACTCTACTTCCTGAAATGTGATGGGAGTCGAATGATACTGAATGGATAAGATGAAAATTTGTGAGTTAAGTATTCTTTAAAGATCTTTGGTTGAAACGATTTTTTTTTTTTTTTAAATGGGAAGAGGAAGGCGACAGCACATTAGTGAGTGAAAGCAGCTTCCATTTCACAGAAACCCAAAGCCAATCTTTCTAAAAAGCTGAACAAGCCCTATAGTGTCTTTATTGAATTACAGCTTAGGATAATGACCTTTAACAGCCAACCTATTTGAAATCATCCAGGAAGAGGGAGTTTGGTTGTTTTTTTGTTTGTTTGTTTTTAAGGCAGAAGAGGGTACGTTTATTTTCATTTCTTGGTGTTTGAGTGTCTCCAGGGGCTGCCAAGAGCAGGCCTTGTTTCTTTACATTGTCATGCTTCCAGAAGGTAAACCATTCAGCCACAGAACTAGCAGAAACAAATATCTAGAGATATTATGGACAAAAAACCAACAGGTTTCTCAGGTCACTTACAGCAGACGTGACGTGGACATCACTTTCAGGTGTCTATGTGTACCTGCTGTTCTTCCGTAAGTAAGGATTAAGGCAGGGAAGTTTTCAGATGCCTCTGTCTGATTAGGAACTGTCAGTTGGGAAGGAACCTACACCTCCCTCTTTCAGGATATTTCTTCTCAGAGCACTATTGGATCGTGATTTAGTAGTGCTTTGCATTCTTCTCTAGAGTACTTTCTTGCTCTCATGATGACAAGCATCCTGGTTGTAGTAATTTTGGCTGCATACAGCTTTGCAGTGAGTGATTTTGCTGCTTCCATTAAATACAGTTTCCCCCTCCCCCCCTTTTCTTCTCCCTAGGCAAGGAGAGCCTCATCACTGACAGTGGAAAGCTGTATGCCCTTGATGTCCTGCTGACTCGTCTCAAGTCTCAAGGACATAGGGTCCTTATCTACTCCCAGATGACCAGGATGATAGACCTACTGGAGGTAGGAGAAGGAACCTTGGGGACCTAGAACACCTTGACATTTAACTTGTAGGAATCAGATGTCTCTGATTGATACCAGTCCTGCTTAATGAGAACTCCGAACATCTTTGTGATTTTACTGTCTGTAAAGGAGGAGAAGTAGCTTCTGGCAAGTGTAAGAGTATGCAAAGGATTTCTGCCTCCTTGATACACCAGTGACATAGAACACTCCTTACTTCCTTCACTAGGGAAGAAATTCCCTAATTTTAAGTAGATCAGAGCTTAGGAATTTCTTGAAAACTCCTCTGATATTGTATATAGTAAACAAGATTTGGGATTACTTCTCTGCATGAAAAACCAGAAAGTGACTATTCATCCTGAGTTAATCCAGTGGTTCTCAACTTGACTACATACTGCAATCTCTTGGGGAACCTTTAACAAATACTGGTGTCAGGTTCCATCCCCAGAGATTTCTTATTATAATATGGGGGAGGTGGCTAGGCATCAGGATATTTGTTTGTTTACTGGGCATGAGGATATTTAAAAGCTCATAAGGTAATTCTGATATGTGACCGAAGTTGACAACCACTGTATTATGGTGATAGATATAGCTGTGTGTTACTGTATATTCTCTCTGCTTTCTTGTTGTCTGAGTGGTTGCTTTGTTGTTACTTGAGGGTTGCTTTGTTGTTACTTTGTTGTTCTTGGACATTGAAACAAGAAAGTGAAATTGAGGACAAATAATCACAAACCACTAGAGTAAATCTTTAGTGAAAGAATGTTGAGCCCTGGCTGTTGCAGCTCAGTGGATTGAGTGTGGGCCTGCGAACCAGAGTATCGCGGTTCGATTCCCAGTCAGGGCACATGCCTGGGTTGCAGGTCAGTTCCCAACAGGGGATGCATGAGAGGCAACCATACATTGATGTTTCTCTCCCTCTCTCCTTCCCTTCCCCTATAAAAATAAATAAATAAAATCTTTAAAAAAAAAATGTTGGGCCCTGACTGGTGTGGGTCAGCTGGTTGGACATCCTTCTCTGAAACGAAAGGTCACCGATTCCATTTCTAGTCAGGTCACAGGCGTGGGTTTCGGGCCCTGTCTCCAGTTGGAGTGTGTGCAACAGGCAGTCGAGCAGTGTTTCTCTCCCTCTCTTTCTTCCTTCCTTCCCCTCTCTCTAAAAATAAGTAAATAAAATCTTGAAAAACAGAAAAATCTTTTAAAAAGCTTTCCAACATCCGGTTTTGGAAAAGGATGTTGGAAAGCTACTTGTCTAGAGTCTAAAGTACTGTCAGTAGTGTATAGATATTCTCATGTTTTTCCATGGATTTTATGTATCTAAGGCTTTCTGTTCTAGCTCTGCTACTCCAGGTAGTAGTTGATAATAAGTGGAAAGTGAACTGTGATTATCCCTTTCTAGGAATAAAGGAATAGAGATCATACCAGTACAAAAGGAATGAAGGGTAGTAAGAAGGAAGAATTTTTAGGTTCTTTGGAAGCCAGGGCTGGCTTGTTGAATTTTCCAGTGAATATTGGAATTAGGTGGCAAGCTCTTTTTAAATTATCTAGGAAGGTTTTTTTAAATAAGAGACAAATGATATTTGAGGTCAGTTTAATCACTACGTTTTATGTTTAATATGGTGTTTAGCTCCAGAATGCTGTTAACAGGCCACACTTTCCGGTTTGTATTATAAGTAGGGTACCTATTTCTAAATGATGAAGAATGCTTATAAGTGACTGCAAGTTGCTATTAGGTGATTTAAGCCATTGAGTTTGATGTAAATCTTGACTTGTGTCAGAGGTCCTAACAGCAATAATTTAAAATAAAAGGACTACCTACATCTTTAATGTTCTGGTCTAAACAGATGATGCCACTAGCCAAAACAGTGAGTTAACTTTCCCTCAGTGGGGCTCTTTTTAGATAAAGTGTACTTGCCCTGTCCTAAACAGTTAGGCAAGTATAGATGAAGTACTGATCTTACACTGCTAATACTTACAGAAAAAGCAATATGTTAAGGATTTTGTAAGGGAGGGATGTTCTTTCTTTTAAGGTAATTCTGGTAGGTGAAGGTGAGTGGGTGGCATAAGTTTGATACAATTCTGCATCTTCCGTATCTTGTATATTGCACACTTCTAGGTACTTATAAATACTACTAAAATAAGTAAATCAAAGAATGAATGTATTTTGTTCAGAATGAATGCTATAAACCTTACCCACCATGGTCGCTTCCTATCTCTAATCCAGCAGGGTTTTTTTTTGAAGGGGGAAGGGTTGAACTTTTTGTGGGTTGACTTCACAAACAAGGCAACTTGAAAACCTTCTGTAAATGTAGTTGCATCTCTCTATGGGGAATTCTGAATTGGGGAAAAGCAAATTCAAAGCCTGAATTTCATAACTGCTAACATTCTTTAGCCATATGTATAACATGCATCTAGGATGCTGGTGCCAAAAAATGTTGCAGTTTGTATGTTTTACTCAAAAACTAAAATGAAACTGTTGCCTAAGTTCCTTAATACTGTCTCCTTTAACATAAAATTCCCTAATTTTTTTGTCTAGTTATTTAATATTATTTACCTAAATCAACCACATTCTATATTCTAAGAGGTTAGTCTGCAAATGAAATTTATTTTGTAGGCACAGAATTACAATGCCCACAATGTTTAATATATGTCTGATCATTTATTGAAATGTAAATATATTATGGATCTTAGGACAGTCCAGGATTACGTCTGTTGTTTTTTTTTTTTATCCCAAAGATATGTTTATTGATTTTAGAGAGAGGGAAAGGGAGGAGAGAGAGAAAGAGAAACATCGATGTGAGAGGGAAAAATTAATTGGTTAAATCCTGTGTGCATCCCGACTGGGGACTGAACCTGCAGCCTTTTCGTGTATGGAATGGTACTCCAGCCAACTGAGCTAGATGGCCAGAGCTAGGTCTACATTTTTTAACTTTTCAAAGAGTATTTTGGGTTTTTCAGTCACTTTCATAATAGAATCTATAAACATTCGCTAGAACCATTTTGGCTTTAAAACATGATCTGGTGCATGAACCCTAAGGATCATGTTATAGAACAGCCCTCTGTATAGCTGCTTTCCCTTAACTTTTTCTTTAAAAAAAATTACCTTGATCCTTGCCTTGCTTCTTTATTTGCAAAGTGTTGCGGGTTATTCCTATCTAGAATTTTTTAACGTTTTTTCAGGATTCTCTTTTTCCCTTGACATCCTGTTACCTTGCATGTCAAGGAGGGAAAGAAAAGCTTTCAATAAAGCCAGAGTTCGAACTCAACAGAAGGCATTGAAGCTCTCTTGTGGAACTGTGAAGCATGTCAGCATCTTTCATATAATAGCCTTTTTGGGTTTTTTATTCTGTGCTTTAGTCTTGTCTATCTGTCTGTCTATTTCTGGGACTCAGAAGAACCAGAAGACAATAAAAATCCATGTACTTCTATATGGCCAGGTTCCTATTTTGTGAGAAATACTAGATGCGGGCACTTAGTATTTGCTCAGTATTTCCTAAAGTGATTGATAGCCTCCTTCTCTAGACAAAAATCTGACTTTAATTTAAATTTCTTTGGAATATATCAGATCTTCTTCCAAATAGAATTCTGTATTCTGAAATGTTTTATCCTTTTTCATGGTATCCAAAAAAAGGAGACTGCTTAATTTCCAGAGCCAAGTATTTTTAGTATGCCACAGCAGAAATTAAGGACGTAAATAGGGAAAGATATGGTGGATCACTAAACATTTGTTGTGGGTTTATTTTATATTTACTGAGTCACCTATAGAGTGTTGGCTGGTGAGCATTCTATGGAGACAGACACAGCCCCTGTGCAGTTGGGAATGTGGTGTCCAACTGGATATCAGACAGAACTTTCCCTAACATCATCATTTTTACCCTGGTTTGGGATGTTGCAGAGAGCTTTTAACTCCCTACAGATGACTTACATTATCTCTGAGTAGTCTCTTTTTGAGATTCATTCCTGTTGCATCAAGCAACTGAGTCTGTAGTTTAGGGAAATGAGCCTCAGTATTTTCTGTGCAACATAACAAAGGTTCAGCCAACTGGTGCTTATGTGGTGTGATTGTTAAGTACTGAAACTGACTAATCTTGAATTGTACCAGTATATGAAAATAGTGCAACTCAATTAAATCCAGATAATCCATAAGTAATGATGACATTTGAGACACTGGGTTGTATAACTTGTCTAGTCAGCAAGTACTTTACTAGGAAAAGGTTCATCCTAAACAGATGTTCTGTCATTTACGAGTACGCCCAAACAACTTCATTATGTTGATGAGATCAGTCCATAAAAAGACAGGGGTGCCCAAGGTCAACCCAACATTCAACCAGTCAGGTTTGTCGTGTGGTGAATTTCAACCGTGCGGACAAGCCCTTTGGGATCCTGGCCAGGGCCAGGGGCAGCAGCCCAAAAAAGGACCACAACATGGACAGTGCCATAACATTTCACTGTTCTTAAAAATAATTCATTAATTATGGCAGGGCGAGGGTGAATGGCCTTTTTAGCACAAGTGAATTTTCCCTCTTGTTGGGAGCAACAGGCTGCCCCTAACTGGAGTTGCATCACATGTGAGCTGGGGCTGGAAGTATGCCTGGGCCTCCTGATGCTGCTTGTGGACTGGGAAGAAGCACAGGCAGCAGCCAGGTTGAGACCCTGGAGGCAGCTGGGCCAGAGGACCCAGGCTCAGAGCCTTTCCCGGTTCCTTATTATTCTCCTCCTCTCAGGGAGGAGACACCTTTCTCAACAGAAGTTCTAAGACTTTCCAGAGGGATACATGGGTCTGGCTTTGTGTTCCTCTTTGTGCCTCAGTTTCTGTATCTGTAGAATGGAGCAGATGATCCCTGTTTTGGGGATTAGAGGTGGAGAGGAAGCTTCTGAAAGGATTTGTAAACTTTTGGTTGTCATACAAGAAGTGTCACATTAGTGGGTGGCCAGGGTGTGGGTGGCAGGACCTTTGAAGTGAGGAAGGCCCAACTCCTGTTTTCCACGCTGGGGACTGTCAGGCC